GAACGTTTGTTTCTTGAAAATTTGATCACGATTTAAATACAGTATTTACTTTTAATATTACCGATATGTCATCGAAAAGAAAACATGTTGTATTATCATTAAAAGACAAATTAAAGTATTTGTTTCGATTATCCGGATTTTTCCTTATCCGGACTACCTTCATCCCCAATTAGTCCGGATAATCGAGGTTCTACTGTATTTGAAAATATTTCCTTTCTATTAAAACATAAGATATGTATAAAGGTTTAAAGCTTTGTGAAACTTCTTTTTTCATAAAAATAGTTTAATTATTACAATTGCTGCATTAAGCTAAAGATTTATGTTGTATAAATACAAATTACATCGTAAAATTACCTGTTGTCACTGTATTAGGAAGAAATTCTTTGATAATCATGCTTTACTGGTATAGAGATGTCGAATAAAATAAATGATTCATTGTCAAGTAACATTTTTATATTTCCCAATATTGTTACAAAATCTTATAACATACATTGTACAAAATAAAATTCACTTGCAGATAGGACTTTTTATTGTCAAAATCAAGTAAATTATAAGCAAAAGACTTAATATACAAAATATTACAGAAACAGTTTACATATACAAAGTTAATTACAATAAATGAAGATGCTATTGTCTACTCTTTTTGATGTATTCAATTACAAAGGAAAACTGGATCCTGTTATGTAATGATTTACATAGTACTGAGATGGTATTTTAGTGGGACTGTAGTAACAAGAGAAACAATTTTTGTTACATCATATACTTAAAATTCATAAAACTTCCTAGATATGTTGATACTAATAATTATAGCTGTTGTAATTCCAAAATACTCGTACAGTAGGGCTTCAACCATTTGAATTTCCTGGGATCGGGATGGTCTAGATCAGGGGTGTCTAACCCATGGCCCAATAAACGTATAAACAAAACCGACAAATTATTTATTATTTATTTATTTATTTCAACAGCATAAACCTCAAAAAAGAAGTTTCACAAAGCTTTAAACCTTTATACATATCTTATGTTTTAATAGAAAGGAAATATTTTCAAATACTTGAAATGTGTGAATGAGGAAGGAATACTAAATAAAACTGGAGTTGTGATTCGAAGAATTATAGCCCCAAATTCGGGGAAACAAGAGAAAGGCCAAAAGATAAAAAGAAGTGAGAAAGGTTGGAAAATTAAGGATCAATATTTGCATAACAGAAGGTCTATTTAACCTTTCTCACTACTTTTTACTTTTGGCCTTTCTCTTGTTTCCCCGAATTTGGGGCTATAATTCTTCGAATCACAACTCCAGTTATTTTTAGTATTCCTTCCTCATTCACACATTTCAAGTATTTGAAAATATTTCCTTTCTATTAAAACATAAGATATGTATAAAGGTTTAAAGCTTTGTGAAACTTCTTTTTTGAGGTTTATGCTGTTGAAATAAATAAATAAATAATAAATAATTTGTCGGTTTTGTTTATACGTTTATTGGGCCATGGGTTAGACACCCCTGATCTAGACCATCCCGATCCCAGGAAATTCAAATGGTTGAAGCCCTACTGTACGAGTATTTTGGAATTACAACAGCTATAATTATTAGTATCAACATATCTAGGAAGTTTTATGAATTTTAAGTATATGATGTAACAAAAATTGTTTCTCTTGTTACTACAGTCCCACTAAAATACCATCTCAGTACTATGTAAATCATTACATAACAGGATCCAGTTTTCCTTTGTAATTGAATACATCAAAAAGAGTAGACAATAGCATCTTCATTTATTGTAATTAACTTTGTATATGTAAACTGTTTCTGTAATATTTTGTATATTAAGTCTTTTGCTTATAATTTACTTGATTTTGACAATAAAAAGTCCTATCTGCAAGTGAATTTTATTTTGTACAATGTATGTTATAAGATTTTGTAACAATATTGGGAAATATAAAAATGTTACTTGACAATGAATCATTTATTTTATTCGACATCTCTATACCAGTAAAGCATGATTATCAAAGAATTTCTTCCTAATACAGTGACAACAGGTAATTTTACGATGTAATTTGTATTTATACAACATAAATCTTTAGCTTAATGCAGCAATTGTAATAATTAAACTATTTTTATGAAAAAAGAAGTTTCACAAAGCTTTAAACCTTTATACATATCTTATGTTTTAATAGAAAGGAAATATTTTCAAATACTTGAAATGTGTGAATGAGGAAGGAATACTAAATAAAACTGGAGTTGTGATTCGAAGAATTATAGCCCCAAATTCGGGGAAACAAGAGAAAGGCCAAAAGATAAAAAGAAGTGAGAAAGGTTGGAAAATTAAGGATCAATATTTGCATAACAGAAGGTCTATTTAACCTTTCTCACTTCTTTATATTTTGACCTTTCTCTCCATTCCCCGAATTTGGGTCTATAATTCTTTGAATCCCAACTCTAGTTTTATTTAATATTCCTTTCAGCATTGCAAGATTTGGCTACCTTTTTTCAGTTTGGCATAAAAATAGTCCAATTCTGCATGTGTGAGAATGGAAAGAGAAGAGGATGGCCTATTTAGTACGAGTCATCCATCTCTGTGGATAGGCCTTGTGTTATAGGTGGCATTGATTAGAGCCATAATGTTGAAAATGCCAAAATTATGCAAGTGCATAAGGATGTTAAATGTAAAAAAAAATTGAAGTCATAAAATGTATGTTTCTACAGCTGAAAAACAGTTTTGAATACCGAAAACATACATTTAAATTATTAAACACAATTTACAAAAAATTAAAACTCAGTTTTAATATTAAAAACTGACAATAATCTACTGGTGACTGTTTCCTGGCTTCACCACTGTTAGGCTCACAGTTTTGATACTTGGAGTTGGACTTCAATCTTTATCAATTGTAATATAGTTATTGTTTATATTTTCCTTTATTTATAAAAAACTTGTAAAATTGAAATTAATTCTTTAATAAAAAGGTAAAATAACTCACTAGGTTACAAATTTTCTGGAATAACAAAATGATGTAAACATAAGCCGTATTGTTTTAAGAGCCAAAGTAAGCTTTTGGTGGTTAAAGCATTATGGCTTGCACATAAATTCAACTTCAAAATACAGCCACTTACAGTGCCACAATTGCTAAAATATCTTTTTGAAGCAGAAAACATTGTGTTTAGAATTCATTTCTTCAATGTACTTAGAGAAAAATGGCATTTACAATGTTATGGCATTGCACACTTCATTTATCATCATGTTACAGCAAATCATCCATTCTGATTCAGTTTAAAATGGGTTTCATGAATTGTTAACACACTTTGAAGCACTATATTTTTGTTCTTCAATCTCAGAACATATTTTCTGGTTTTCATACTTATGTCAGAAGGTGGCAATTTTGCAATGATTTTTCTTTTGTAAGATTTTCATTTCCTAAGTACAGTATTTCTTAATGTTGGACATTTAATCAACGTTAAATCTTAACAATTGGTAAAAAGTTCCAGGTCAACATGGTAGCAAGAATTTTATACTTTATGGTTTGAATTGTATTAAAACAGAAATAGGACATTACCTGGTTTCACTTCCATTGCTTTTTTGCTGGGTTCCTGATAAAGTATTCAATATTCAACCACTTGTTATCTTCATAATCAAACAAGCAGCAGGATACATTCTTTCTGATAGGTGCTCCTGTGATTTATTAAAATATTTGAAACAAATTTTGGGATTCATCAAAACATTGACTTTTGAAGAGTTAACAAAATAAGTATGCATGCTATATAGTTAGTTAAAATATACAGTTTGAACACTTTTCTAGTTGCTAATTGATTGTTTTAAGTAGAAACATTACTGATAACTAGCTTTGATTAGTAATTAATGCTTATGAACTATCATTCTTACTAAATAAACTTAGCATATTTCTAATTTGATAAAATCACATATAAAAATATTTAATTTCAAAATACTTTATTAACTTCCAATGGAAAAATTTTCAGCCCTACAGTTACATTTAAAACCTTCAATATACAGTAGTTTTAAAAACAACAACATAAGCAATTTTCTTCTTGGAAATCAACAGCAACTTAGATAAAAGTTATAAATACAGCTGCATCTTAATGCATGCAAATTTAGACTCTAAGATTGTAAGATTGATCTGTATTCTGGCTGGTACGGTAATCCTTTGTAAAGGAGATTGGTCAAATTCATTACAGTATTATTTAAGGATAATGAAAAATGAAATCCAATCTTTGAGTTTATGATTTGTATACTTGATACAAACCAATTAACACATCTACTTGCAGATATTTTTATAATATCCTTAAAATTTTACTTAAAACAATTTAAAATTGTATATGGCATAAGTAGTAATAATAATAATAATAATAATAATAATAAAAAAACAATGTACAAAGTACACTCGTCAATCAGCTAAAATATTTACAAAATAAAATAATACTGTTTAAAATTGCAGTTGTTCACAAAATATATTTAAGTACATTTTGTCTTATAAATTACACTGACCAATAACTTCTACTTTTAATTTTCAGTTTCTTTCACTTTAAGAATATGATCTTGTTTCAATTTATTCTGACAATTTACCATATCATCTAGAGCGATATGCAATGCAGAAACTTTCTCATGAGAAGGTCCTAGTTTACCTGCCAAATCATCAATGGCAGCATGTAGAGCTTGCAGTTTGATCCCAACATTTGTCATTGTGGAGGGAAACATACTATGTTCATTATAACATCCGTGAGATCCATTGACAAGACTCGACACAGGTATTGTTCCAAACATTTGAGGAAGTGTGGCATTTAAAGGTGATGCACAATGGAGAGGATGCATGTAGGCAGAAAAGGATTTATGATCAGAATTATTAGCACAAAGAGTAGATAATTCATTTTGAATAGAATTTTTGCTAGTTACAGCTTGGTTTGAGGTACCCATTGTAATGTTAGACTCAGAAGTATTTGAATAAAGTGACGATTGTGTATTTGCTGTAATTTGATGTGGAACAGCACAATAATTTTTACATTTCGATGAAGCCTTTGACTGATTTTTTTTTCGTTTATTTACTTGTGCATTTCTATGAGTTTCATTATTGATTTGTGGATATTGTGCAGAAGGAACCATTGTTGGAGGTATTAAAGAATATTCTCTTGGTTGTAGAGAAGGAATGATAGCGCCATGTTTTTCTCGTTGATGACGATGCATATTTCCTCTGAGTGTAAATGAACTACCACATGCTGTACATTTATGTGCTTTATTATTCTGATGAATTGCCATATGGGCACGAAGATTATGAGCTCGGGAGAGACCTTTACCACATATATTGCAAGAGAAGGGTTTGACTTCAGCATGAGATACCATGTGCATTTTTAATGTCTGTGGCTGTGCAAATGTTTTTCCACACTGCTCACATTTGAAATGCCGTACTGCACTATGAATTAATGTATGACGTTCCATGTTTGCTTTCAGTGAGAAATGTCTTCCACATGTTGGACACATGAATGGTTTAATGAGGCTATGAGTTATGCTGTGTGCTTTTAAATGATGATCCTTTAAGAATTTCATCCCGCATACATCACATGAAAATCTCCGAATACGAGTATGAATAAGCATATGATCTCGTAACTGACTAGGATACTGGAATATACGTTCACAGACTTCACAGCTTAAATGTCGATGATGCATTTTATTAACCATGTCTTCCAAATGGAAAATTGTTTATTTCCACTCCATCTGAAAGAAAATTGTTTCAAATTTAAAAAATGAAATTAATTAAAAATTAAACAAAACTCTTAATTAAAAATTTAAATATAAAATCTGTAAATAAAAGAACCATATAGTCTAAGAAAATATACATGATGTTTTCTTTCTACATTTTAAATAATTTTAACTTTTCTTAACAAAATTAAATCATTTTACATTATTCTCAATATAATTCATTTTGCTTATGTAAGTGGACACAGCAGAATTTTTAGAAATGAGAGGGCTGACTTCCTTCTGAAGGACTCGCTTCAACCTCCATATGCAGTATCTTTAAATATATGCATCATGAAATGTCACTAGAGAACTGTTTCTAAACAAAGGATGTTGGACTTGTGGTACAATGAATTTGTTAACTCAAGCAGAGCTAGTGTGACTAGAATTTCTTTCTTTGAAATCTTTGAAATATCACTTTCCTACTATATTTCAGACAGCAAAAAATTATTTTTCACCAATTTCAAACTAACCCAATTCCTCACCAGCCATAGGAAGTTTCATGCTTACATGAACAGATTTAAGCTAAGACATACGGATTTGTTTCTATACTGTTGATGGTTGGCAGGATGTCGACCACATTATTTTTCACTGCTCCAACATGCAAAAAGAAAGAAAACATTTTCGCTAGAAGCTTGGGGAAAACTTGGCCAATTCCCCACAGTTCTCTTGCAAATTCCAGATTATCTTTTCTAGTTTTTGCACACTTTGTCAATTATTATTCCTTCTCATAATGTTCTCTTATGTTATGAATTTATGTAGTGCATTTAATTTTTGCATTCAGCTATATGTATGTTGCTTTGCATATCAGTGTTTCATGTTTGTTAACTTACTGCCATGTAATGCTGTGTCAGAAACAAGGAGAAATATGCTTTAAATAAAAAAAATCTCTCATTATCTTACAAAATATATATACAATATTATATCATTCAATTCTAAGAAAACTAAAAATTTTAGAATAAAGCATCAGGAATCAAGTAGACTGAACTTTAATATATTAGTTAGTTTTTCCAAAGGAATAAATTTCAAAAGTAAAATTACTTATACTACAATAGTAACTTAAACATTATATGATACTTGACAAAAATTTTGTTACTTGTTCAAAGTTTTATAACATAAATACTTACTAGGAGACTAAAAGACAATTTTATCTTATCTCAAACAAAAGTAATTTAGAATAACATTTGTGTGTAAAAATGTTTAAACAATTTTATATGATAAATATAGTAAATATAGCTACTAGAAATTAAAATTTGTTTTCAAAAATTATTCATCCAAAAGAAAAAATTAATTGAAACATCTAAAGCAAAAAAATATAGTAATTTATAACTTCTCAATCTTTCTTATTTTTGCAAATATCACAAATATAATTAGCATATTGTGTATATATAAAAGCATCCCATTCACACAACTAACTAAACTTAACCATTTGATTTTATTTTCTCACGGAGAAAATGTTAGAATGCCATAATATACCAAGGCTTCACTGTGTTGTTTCAGTTAGCACTGTTTTCAATATTGTGTTGTTAAACAATTAATACCAAAATTTCATTTTGAGTTGTAAAATTCCCATTTGCATTGTGTGATGTTGCTAGCAATCACTGATTCTTAACTAGGCAACATTGAGCATTATGCTGAGAATAGCCTTCCTTGAACATTCTCTTTAAAATATGGATATACAGATGACATAAAAATAGTATTATTAATGTCATCAATATCATTATTATTATTAGTTTATTTCACTGAAATATGTTTTAGCAATTCACTTTTAAATCTTCATACAGATGTAGCTTATAATAAAATTTTAACATTGAGTAAGTTTATAATATTTTTGCACTCATTGCATCTGTAGTGCAATACTGATAATTTGAAAATTTGTTGTATTTAATAGTTTTAATAGTTACTATAACATTCAGGCTAAAAACTGAGCTGTGAAGGTTTGTGCTGGGGTGCTGAGATATAGTAGCATAATTAGAACAACATTAGGAGAGACCAGAATTAGAATGTGTAAACTTATATACACTCTTGAACCAGTGTGGATATAGACACAATGTGGATGAAGATTAAACTTTCAGATATTGTATATACAGTAATACCTCGACTTACACGAACCCAGAGTTACGCGAGTTTCAAATCTCGTCAAATCGTCTTTTGTTTGAGCGCCAGGCAACTATTGATTACTCACTCCCCCACACTATTGTTCAGCTTACATGTTCGGACGTGTCACATGGAATCGACGCATAGCTACAATTTATTTTGTGTTATTTATTTCTGTGTATTTTATATCTATGGAGACTTGAGAGACTATGTGGTGATTTCTTGTAACCATGAATAAATCAAAAGACGAGATAAGATTAACGAGAACATTTATTAGCTTACCTACCTCCAACTTGGATTTTACACAAATTGCGAAATTATACCCAACTTACGTGAATTCGACTTACGCGGTTATCGTTCGGTCCCACCTATCACGTAAGTTCGGGGTATTACTGTACATTTGTGTAAGTGCAATTAACACATTCAAATTATTTTCCTATGCTTGTTTGATTTTTTGTTTTATTTATTTAATTACAAAGTTACAACAGGATATAAGTAATGATACACTGTAGTCGATGTGGCAGGGCATGATCTAGCCCAGCTGAAAAATTGGCAAGGGCCCTGGACACAAGCAAGCTAGTCCAGAAAACCCAAAAACAACACAAAATATGAAGAGGGAAAAATATTGATCAGATGAGAGTGGCGATGCTCAATGTTGGTACAATGTATGCAAGCCGCAAGTTTGTTGCAGCGGCCCTGCGGAGGCAACGCATCGACATCTGCACACTACAAGAGACCAGATGAAGCGGGGAAAAGGCCTGTGACATGGAGCAAGAGCAGAGGAAACATGGCTACAAGCTGATCTACTTTGGCAGCCCTTGCATCTGCAGTGGCGTAGGCATTGCCATCTCAGAATGAATTCGTAATGCCATTCAGTCAGTCCACTGATACGATGACTGTCTTATGAAGATTGTCATCGTGACACCACACCAGACTATCCATACTTTTACCACTTATGACCACAACTGGGTGACCACAGACTGAGAAGGATGCATTCTGGCAGCTGCTCGATGACCAGATTTGAGACGTGCCAGCTACAGACTTCAATGGCCATGTTGGTGAGACTGCTGAAGGAAGCCAATGTCATGGTGGCAGGGACTTTGGTTGACGCAGTGATGATGGTGAACGTGTGCTTAACTTTGCTGATTCCCATGATCTTGTCCTCACCAACACCTGGTTCAAGAAATGAATGTCGCAATGGCCCACTTTCTACAGTAGAGACACAAAGTCACAGATCAACTATGTCTTAGTTTGACGACATGACCTACACTCCATCATTGATGCGAAGGTCGTGCCATACAAGATGGTGGCAGCACAACACCAACCCATCATTGCAACACTTCGCATCAACCTGCCAAAACTGCCCGACGAAGATCACACTGGTCCACCACACATCAAGTGGTGGAGACTAGGTGGCAGTGAGGCAGAGACCATAACACATATTCATCTCCCAGCTATGACAGCTGTTGAGGAGACTTGGCAGAAGACAAGATGGTCTATCCCAGGAGCTGCCCGGTTGATACTTAGCTGAAGCTTTGTGTAGTGTGACAGTTGGCTCTGGACAGATGATGTCAAATCAAAAGTTCATGCAAAGAAGAAGCTCTACCACGCCTTCCTCAACAATAAGACTCCACAGAACTGGCAGATATATCGAGACGCCAGCTGTGATGCTAAAAAAGCTGTTGCTGCAGCCCAAGCGGCACACTATAAGAGAATCAACGAGCAGCTTGATGGGCAAGATGGTGAGTGTCTCCTCTGCCACCTTGCCAAAGTCGTAACTGGTGGACAAAGACATTGAGAAATTTCACTGCGTCAACAACAAATGTGGCAAGCTGATCATTGACAGACAAGTCATGATGGAGCAATGGCGGGGATACTTTGAGAAGATTTCCACCAAGGAGTTTCCTCACTTACGTATCATGGAACCCCCCACCATGGTTGGACCTGTGCAGCCAATTGCCGAGAAAGAGATCGCATGTGTGCTAAAGAGGATGAAGCCTGGCAGGGCATGTGGACCTAATGACATCACTATAGATCTTTGGAAGATGAAAGGTTGGAAGCCATCAAACTGGCTTGCTGCTTTCTTCAACCTGATCATCAAGGAAAAGAGGATGTCCACCGACAGGCAACAGAGTATGGAAACAGAAAGGCAGTCCAGCTGAGTGCTCAAACTACCACCCGATCAGACTTCTTTCGCACACTATGAAGTTGTTCAAGCGTGTTTAGACTGCTGGATCCGCAACCTTGTCAAGCTCACTGTAAACCAGGCCAGCTTTGTCAAGGGATGTGGCATGATAGATGCCATCCTCACTGCTCAACTCTTTGTTAAGAGGAATTATGAGAAGAGGATCCCACTGCGCATTGCCTTTCTTGATCTTGAGAAGACATTTGATCATCTGCCACATGAGCTTATCTGGGCTACTCTTCACCAACATCACATTCCTGAGGAACTTATCAGTTGTGTACAATTGCTCTACTGCAGTGGTTCCCAATTAGTTTTTCCTGCGTACCACTTCAAGAAAAAGCTCAAACTCACATACCCCTTATAGCAGAAATTCATATTAAACAATACAAATATTATAAATTTGAACGTAATTCTGTATGTCTGTCTGTTACCTTTTCACGTCTAAACCGCTAAACAGGTTTTAATAAAATTTGGCACAGAGATAGCTTACATGTTGGAAATGGACATAGGCTACATTTTACAGCAAGAAAATATCTTATTCCCACGAGAAAATTTGATATAATGCAGGCGAAGCTGTGGATAGACAGCAAGTGATAAATAGAATAAGTTTTTTTTTCTACATTTATTACCTTTAAAATACAATTCTAATAATAATGAAAATAACATAAGGTTATTTAATTTTAATGCAACAAATGTG